GGGGGGGGGGGTGAAGTTTGAGGGGGTTAGTGGCTTGCCTGTGGCGAGCCCCCGGCACGGTGTGATGCAAGCAAGCCGGCCGGGCATGGTTTGGCTGCTGCTGCACCTGCAATGCTGTCCCTCAGCATCGTGCAGCGCCCAAACCATTGAGCCCGCCCTTCTCCTGCACCCTTCCCCCCTCCACAGTCCACACCTGTGCGGCTTCCCTGGCCGCCCTGATCCTCCCCTCCAGCTCCGCCACCTGCAACAGACAGGGGGCGAGCCGGCAGCTCAAAATGCTCGCACTATCAACGCGGCTCGGGTTGGGGCGGCTGTGGCTGCCAGGACTAGGGGTCTGCGATCGACTCGGATGATGAGCACGCTGCGTGTTGCGCAATCCAAAAACCGGTACATGGCCTGCAAAGCGCTCCGCGTGTGCGCGTCCACAGGCGCATGCGTTCGCACGTGCGCGCGTCCCCACGCGCCTCACCCTCGTGTCGCGCTCCAGCAGCTCAATCTCGCGCAGTCTCAGCGCCTTCTCGGCCTCGTGCACCGCCGACTTGGCCCCGATCAGCTCGTCCTGCTCGATTGGCAGTTCGTTGGGTTGAGCGCATGGATGCTTGCTGTTTGCAGGCGACCGTTCTCGAGCGTGCGAGCTGGCACATCAAAGGCTGTGAGCGAGGTCGGGTGTGTGCTGGAACGCGGCGCGGCGTGCGCTCTAGAGGTCAAACGCTCTGCTAGATGATGCGTGACCCCTGCGGCAGGAGGTGTTGCGTAATCAGAAATGAAGCAACCGGTTGCCGATCAACAAGGCAAAGAGACGGGCGGGTCGCTGCTGCAATGGCAGGTGGCGCATCGGCAGAGGCTCGAGCAGACGAGCACGGCGTCACCTGGAGCGCTTTCATGCGCCGCCGTGCGTCCTCTGCGTTCACACTCTCGGCCGCCTGGCGCTGCGCGCGCGCCTCCCGCTTCCACCGCTCCTCGCTGCGCTTTGCGTCCTGGGGATACAGGTGGTTTGGGGCGTTGCGTTTACAGTTGAAACAGTGCGGCAATGGCGTTGATACTGTGCTGGGTCTGATGGCAACATTCGCGTGCATGCATGTACTCATCTACACACACACACACACACTCTCTCTCTCTCTCTCTCTCTCTCCCCCTCTCTCTCTCTCTCTCTTTCCCGCAGTGATACAGTCACGCCAAACGACTACACACACGAAGCTTGCGCGCACAACTTGTGCATGCACACGCACGCCTTCACGCTGTGCACATGCCCATCCACGCACCCTCAAATCTTCACCATCCGCCGTTTTCCCTCTTCCCACACCCACGCCCGCACACGCTCATATCCAAAAGCAGCAGCAACCCACCTCGGCGGCAGCCAGCAGCACCTTGTCCTGCTCCGCCATGAGCCCCTCCAGCTGACCAATCTTCTGCGACTTGAGGGACCCGTAGGCCTGCAGCAGCCGCCGGTATTGGCGCTGCGACACAGCCACACGACGTCGAGTGCAAGTGGAGGAGTCAGTGTGTGGACAGTTGAATGGGGTCCAGGCAGGGTGGCACCGCCGTGGTGGGGTTGAGATAATGGGTTTGTGCGCGCGGCCGGCTGCTGTGGTGTGCTGGCTGGCAGCGGGTGAGGTGGGCGCCGAAGTGCACGAGCATCAGCGGTTCAGGGCAAACCTCTGCAATGCGGATGCACAGCCCATCCAGGAATTATCACTGCTCGGCCCTTGGGTCGTCAGCCAAAGCAGTCACAATGTTGTGTGCCACGATGAATGCTGTCAAGTAAAACAAAGGTCGCTGCTGCCGTCCCCGCACCCCCCCAGGGCAGCCCACCATCAGCTCTGCATAATCTCTGCCGTGCTGTGCCATCAGCGCCTCGGCCGGCACGGCCGCCTCGTCGTTCCCGCTCGGTCCGGCCGCCGCCGCTCCCGCCGTGCCGGCCCCTGCACCCGCCCCACTGTCTGCCGTGCCCTTGCGCGCCCGCTTGGCCGGCGCGGGCGCGGTAGTGGCGGCGGCTGCTGAGGGGCCGGCGGGTGCGGCTGGGTCGGTCTCGGGCTCCTTGCGCTTGTGGGAGGTCCTTGCACTGTCGGCCTTCGCCTTTGCTGCGGCCTTGGCGCCGCCCCTTGGCTTCCCTGCTGGCTGCTCTTTGGGCACCGCCTCAGCTGCCGCAGGCGGGTCCGCCGCCACGGGGCGCTCAGGCTGCCGGCGTCGCGCGGCTGCCGCTGCAGCCGCATCGCCGCCACCGGCCACCTTGAGCTGCCGCTGCGACTTGCGTGCCGCCGCAGCCGCCTTCCCTTTCAGCTTTGTGGGGGCAGCCTTCTTGGCCTTTGGCTTTGTGACGCCGGCCCCAGCCGCCGTCTTTGCTTTGGCTGTCTTCCCGTCACCATGGGCGGCATTAGCTGCGGTCGCCTTTGCAGGGGCCGTGCCAGTTGCTGCACCTGTTGCTGCTGCGCTGCCCGGAGCTCCGGCGGCGCTCGCACTGCCGCGCCCGGCCTTCCGCTCCTTGGCTGGAGCAGGAGGTGCAGGGGCGCTGCTTGCGGCCTTTTTCGACTTTTGAGCAACGCCCTTGGCCTTAGATGCTGCCGCCGCTGCCTTGGCCGCACCATTGCCTGCCTGAGCGCTGGGACGGCCGGTCTTGTGCATCAGCGCTTGCGGCCGCAGCTCTGGGCTGCCTGGCTCCTCATGTTTCAGTACAATTTTGTTCTCCGCCTGCGCAGCCGTGTGTGGCAAGAGGGGAGCGAATTGCACGGGCTTGTGCGTGCGTTGTGAGCCCATGGACACAGGCAGCCATGGTGCATTCGTTCGTGTTTGCTGCGCGGCACAGAAGGCGCGGCCACACCTTGAGCCAGGCCGGCGTCCCCGTTCCGGCCACCGGTTTCCTATAGTCTACATTGCCGCGGTCCCTAAGGCTCGTTGGCATCGTGAGCCGAAGTTGGTGTGGAAGGGCTCGGCTTACGTGCCTCCTTAATCGATTGCAGTGTGCGTGCAAGGCTTGATATGGGGCGTGAACGAGCCTAATCACCCCATCGCAGCTGACCTCACTGGGACAGCGATCTAAGCTAGCCCACTGTGATGCGTGGTGGTATGAAGACAAATTTAACTGTCGTAGTAGCGCTTGTCAGCATCCAACAGGTGCTGACACGGTCAGCACGGATTCAACTGTAACCGGGTGCGTGCGGTCCTGCAAGAGTCAGCCTACTGCGGCACTGATGCCTAGACAAACATTGCATGATTAAGCGTCTGATGTGATGCTCGAATGTGCAGATCACATATGTTCCCATCAGACAGTGACTTCCGCAAACGCATCGTGAATGGACGCGGCTCCGCCAGTTGACGGTGGTGATGACGAATTAGACGAGCTGTATGAGCAGCAGAACGTGCTGCGGCTCCTGCGCGCGGTCGTTGCACCCGCTGCGGCCGCTGCTTATGCGGCCTCCCCCGCCGGCCTCGACCCGGCCACCACCGGGCCCGAAGCCCCGCCGCTGCTGCCAGAAGAGGCCGGCTGTGCGCTGTGGGACCTGACAGCTGCCCCATTCGGTGCCGCGCACGTGCTGGCGCAAGGCTACGCGACACTAGAGGATTTCCTAGCCCTGCAGCTGCGCCGAAGCTGGGGCCGGGGAACCGGCAGCAGCGCCGTCATTGGTGACGGCAGCGGCGGCGTCGGTGGCGGCGAGAGCAGTGGGACAGATGCAGATGCTTTGCGGATGGCAGAGCTGTGCCTCGGCATCTTTGGCAACATCTACTCTCATGGCGACCTGGCTGGGGCCATCCATCAGCAGCAGCAGCAGCAGCAGCAGCAGCAGCAGCAGCAGCAGCAGCAGCAGCAGCAGCAGCAGCAGGATCCGCCCGGCGCCAATAGCTGCGGCCTCGCGTCACTGGCTGTCGGCGGGGCGCTACTGCTGGACGACCCCCAGACCCTCAGCGAGTGCTGCCGCCTGTGCAGCGCGGCAGTGGCGCTCGGGCGGCAGGTGCGCAACCAGGGGCACGCTCCCGTTAGTGGGGAGCCGGCCGGGGGCCACACTAGGGCCTGAAAATGCATCCGCACCCTTGCAATGCTGGGACCTCGCACCAGCCATGTTCCCCTCAATCCTCTCCCACGCAGGAGTGTAGGTCGCTTGTGTGCTCCATGCCACCAACAGCCACAGATAATCTTGTACTTCAACTTGATAGCTCACATATAAACCACAACTTCGGCGCTCCCCCTCTCCTGCACATAATGGTGGGTTCCAGGTGTCCCAACCCTGGCTGCGCGCCCTGGCGGCCCCAGCGGCGCTCGAGCGGCTGACGTGGATCGCCGCGAGCAGCGCCGTCGCCGCGCTGACTCAGCGCTGCCTGCAGCTGCTGGCGGCGCTGCTTGCCGCAGGCGTCGTCGCCGACGACGGCGGCGGCGGCGGTGATGACGACGGGGGAAGCCCGCCGATCGGCGCTGTGAGGGGCGCAGACGCCTCTGCGGGTCAAGGGGACAGGGGCAGGGAGAGGCCCGCCCAGGAAGGGGCCGAGTCCGCGCAGCCGTCGCTCGAGTCGATGCTCGAGGCTGGGCTGTTGGAAGCCGTCGGGCAGCTGCTGACATCAGCGGCAGACGCGCTGGCCCCAACCCGGCCGCGGCGGGGCTCACCCCAGGCACAGAGCCGCGGCGACGGCGGCGGACGCGGCGGACGCGGCACGGCAGCCGGGGGGTGGGACGACAGCGCGGGAGAGGAGGAGGGGGAGCGGGCCGGCCGGGGAGGCGGCGAGGCGGCGGCGGCGGCGGAGGCGGGGGCTTTCGAGCCGCCTGTGGTGGAAGCCGTCTTGGATCTGGTGCTGCAGATCACTGGCCAGCCCGGCGGTGTAGAAGCCATCGACACATATGATGCGGGTGCGTATGATGGAACGAGCGGGCCAGCAGAGGGCGGCGGCGCCGCGCCAGGGGCTGGTGGCAGCCGCGGGGGCGTCTGCGGGGCCCTGCTGCGGCTGCTTGCCGCCTGCGCGGCGGAGGGCGGGGCCGCGGGCGCCGATCCCGTGCCGCCATCCGTGCGGGATTGCGCTCTAATGGCGGCCGCCCAGCTGCCGCGCGCGCGCCGTGGGTTTGGTGCGCGGCCTGCCCTGTCGGCGGCGGCGGCGGAGGCGCTGCTCGAGAGCGATCTCGAGGATCTTGATCTGCAGGACGCGTGCTGGTACCTGATCGCCTGCTCAGCTGCCGCGGCGCTTGAACGTCGCACCACAAAGGAGACGGCGGCCAGGCCAGAGGGGCGGACCGAGGGGCCCCCGCCTGCACCATCGGCGGCAGAGGAGGCGAACGGGGAGGGGGATGTGGAGGAGGGCGCTGCGCTCAGGCGCGTGTGGGAGGTGCTGCCGCGCTGCAGGGTGCCTGAGTCGTCGCGGCGCTATGCTGACGAGGCGACGCGGTGCTTGGAGGCGTTCCTTGACGGCGGCGGCGGCGGTGGAGGCGGCCGCGGCAGCTGAGGGCTGGCAGGGCTCTTTGTGCGGGAAGGGTTTTGGGCAGGGGTGCTGATGTGATGAGGGGAATCAAAGGTTGTTGTTGTTCAAGCCTGCACTTCCTTTTCCTGTGCTGCTGTTTTCAAGGGCCAAAGAGCGCTGCCATGCTGCCGAGCCCCGTCCCCAGGCTGATGCCACACAATGCAGAACGTGACGGCTTGCATCGGGTGCGCGTATGCGTGCTTCCATCCACTGCTATAAGGCGGACGCCTGCGCGGGGCCATGCACCTGCCTGTGTGTGCGCCCTTTACGACACGGGTTGCGTCCGGTTGAGAGCAGTTACAAGGGCTCGGCGCGGCACGCTTGCGTGATTGCGTTGGACGTCCGCGGTTGCGTGACGCTGCATTGGTGTCACCCGCGTGCGTGCCTGCTGCCAATTGAGCGCTCATTACAAGGTCAAGGGGCGGCGCCTGCACCGCACGCCGCGCGCCATGCTGGCGCACCTCCCAACTGTGCCATGTGATGTGTATCAAGATGCACGCGCCGCCAAGAGATGTAACAAAACCGCTTGCATGTTGCAGCAAGACAACGCACGAATGCCTGCAATAAACAGCAGAGGCGAGCCCACGTCAAGCCACCCAAGGGCAAAAAATGACGACCACACGCACGCTTCACTGCCCGCCGCCGGCGCCGGCGCCGCCAGCTCCCGCGGCGCCGGCCGCCTGCCGCTTCTGCTTCTTTTTCTTCTTTTTCCGCTTCTTATCCAGCAGCCGGCTCACGCTGCTGCCCTCCGTGCCGCCGCCACCGCCGCTGCCGCCGCCGGCGCCCTTTCCGGCCCCCCTGGCACCGCCGGCTGCACTGCCTGCCCCTCCGCCTTCCCGCTGCCCGCCGCCTCCCGCCTCCAGATCCAGATCGTCGTCGGACCCCGAGGAGATCCCGGTGGCCAGATCGAACGCCCGCTGCGTGATCTTGCCCTTCTTGAGCTGAGTCAGCAGCCGGTAGTCACGCGTCAACTCGGCCATTTCATCCCGCTGCTGCAGCTGCCGCCGCTTCGCCGCCGGAAGCTTCTCCTCCGGCTGCTGCTGCTGCTGCCCCTGCCCCTGCCCGTCCGCGCCGCGCCCGCGCTTGCCGTCGGGCGCGCCCCGCTTTGGCGGCTGGCTGCCGCCCGTCGCCGCCGCCTCGGCCTCGGCCACGCGCTTCTGCTTGATCTGCCTCTGCCGCTGCTTCTCCCGGGTCTTGTCGCGAAAGGGGACGCTCTCGGGGTCGACCTGATGAGATGAGGGCGTGTCACAGGGAAGCAGGAGGGGGACAGGTGTGGGTGGGAAGCAGCAAAGGCACGTGATGGGTGGGTGAGTGGGAGCAAGCGAGGGACATAACAGGCAGGCATGAGAGCAAACAGAGCAGATCAAGGAAGGTCGGCGAGAAAAAACGGGGCGCACCCAGCCAATCAGGCGGGCGCAGGGGTGGCTAAGGGCGGAGCGGTGGCGTGGCACAGGGGCGGGGGCTGCGGGGAGCCGTGACGAGCGCCGGAAGGCGGGTGGGGCCGAGGGCGGCCCTCCAGCCGCGCCCGGTGTTGGCCGAGCTCAAGAAACGCAGAGGGCTGTGGCCCCCACCTAGAAGCATATGAAACATGATAAAGACAGATTCAGCATCCGAGGATCCGCCCTTAACCGCGTCATCAACCTCGAAACCAGCTCTTCACATAACATCAAGGGAAACCGGCCCCCTCCTCGGAGGGCAAGGCCAGCCCCCCAAACGCCGCTTCGTCACCCGCCGTCGACGTTTTGTGGTGGAACCCAAATCCGACAAAGAAGGGCGAAACCAACCCACCCGCGTGCCGCGGCGCAGTGCCGCGCGAGCATGTCGAGCCGCAGCCCAGCCCCCAACATGTCATGGTGGGACCTGCGCCACCCCAAGCGTGCAAAATCAGCTGCCCCTTTACCTGTGATGGCGTGAACTCGTCCCTGGGGACCTTCTTGGTCTCCGGCATCCGCGGCAGCCGCAGCAGGCCCATCGCCGCCGCCAGGCGCCCCAGGCTCAGCTCCTGTGTGTGCGCAAACGTGTGTGCGTGTGTGTGTACGTGTGTGTGTTTGTATGCATGCGTGCGTTTGTATTGAGGGGGGTGTATTCCAGCTCCAGCGCACGCTTATGAGCATTCAAATGCATGGGGTTTGCAGGCGGTCCAGAGGGGGTGCAGAGCAAAGTTTAGTTGGGAAATTGCGACAGGGTCTTGGGCGGTAACTTTGGCAAGGAGGAGGGGATCAGGGAGCGGGGGCGGTAGGGATGAGGTTGGGTCGCCGGCGCGGCAGCCCAGGTTGCGGACCGGTCCACGCCTTGTTTGCTTGCTGGCAGCCAGGGTGCACGCCCGAGGCAACCAGACCGTCAAAGCAAGTTGGGAGAGCAGGCCAACCATCCAAGGACCGAGCGCACAGCCACTGTGTCGAGTTGGCACACGGCAGGTGGGGCTCCTCGCAGACCCGATCAGCAGCGCCCTGTTGATACGACCCGAATGCCCACACGCGCCTACCACCTCAACACAGGTGCTCGTGTCCAAGCCCCGCCACTGGCCTTGCAAACGTGCATGCTGAAAGATGGACAGTTACGACCGGAGATAACACACGCCGACGCATCGACCGCGAAACCGACCTGTATCCGGAAGATGTACTTGAGGTGGTGCTCCTTGTAGCCCCTCACGAAACTCACAAACGCGCGCGTGGCCTTGTCCATCGCCTCCCGGTCCGTCTCTGCCTCAGACCGCAGCCAGGCGGTCAGGCCGTCAGGCGCGCCTGGCGGGCGCGTGGCGGTGCGTGCCGGTCAACTGTCGGTCAAACGCTTGAGTACCGCAAGCAATCCAATCCAATGGGATGGTGCATGCCCGTCAAGAACTGGTCAAAGTGTTGGGGAGTCGGGCTCTCGCAGGCCAAAGGTTGTGGGGCTGTGCCGGCGTGGGGTTGTTTGCACGCTCGGTGCGTGCGCAGAGGCGGGCGTGCGTCCACCGGCTGGGTGCAGCCGCCGGAGGTGAGGTGTGGTCAGTCAGACGAGTGAGATAGGGTCAGCCCGCCCAGCATGCATTGCTCAAAGAGCGTTATATGTGTATGAATGCGGCAGATTCATCGGTTGGGGTACATGACCAGGTGAGGCGGCCGTTGTATCGCTCCTCGACCTGGGTGCGAGCCGCAGTATGAGGGCGGCCGGGCAGCTACCTGGCAGCTTCTCGACCTCCTTGAGGGGCACCTTCCGCAGGCGCAGCAGCTCCACGTAGGCCGACTCGCTGGGCAGCAGCAGCGCCAGCGCCGCGCCGCTGCGGCCCATGCGCGCTGTGCGGCCGACCCTACAGGAACAGGGCCGGGTGTGGTGGGGGCGGGGAGGAAGTGTGTCGCAACGCGCAGGCTTTGGACAGGTGGCCGAGGGCAAGCGCGGGGCCGAGGTGGGAGGCCGAGGCGCGTGGTTGACGCAAGGGCCCGGGCGCGAGCGCGCTTGGCGCCGCGGAGCGCGGGGTTGCCAGGGGGGGACCGGCTGGCTTGGGCGCGCCTTTGGGGCGGCCGCTGTCGGGGTGCACCTTTCGGGCCGCGACCGCAGGCATGGCAGCAACCAATGGCAGCAAGCACAAAACGCAAACCCGGGCACACAGGGCATGAGGTAGTTGGCGCCCGCCCCCACCTGTGGACAAAGGCTGAAGGGTCTTGAGGGGGGTCGTATTGAAATACCCAGCCGACGTCGGGAATGTCCAGGCCCCTTGCTGCCAGGTCGGTGCACAGCAGGACGCCTGGG